GTGATGAATTAGAGGCAAAGTTCATACACCAAGGAGAATGTCTAATGCAGCACAAGATTGAACTCTAGTGGTTCTTTTTAAACACTGCAAACAGCTGCGGGCAATGTCTCCAAACAACATATATTTTCCTTTCCAGCTCTTGAGGAAAAAATCAAACTGGTAGTCAAAATGCTCAGGGAGAGGAATAACATACGTTTTCCAAAATAAAGGCAGTGAAAGAGAAGTTTTCTAGCTCTTGACAGAAATCCTTTCTACTTAGAAATCAAAATCAAAGATGTCTCTGTTCCATTCAGGCCCTCTTGTCTTCCTTTATTCTTTCCAAGTGGCCAAAAACACTGTTTCCCCCCTGCATGCATATTAGATGAAGAGCTGGAGGGGTTCTTTATTTATCATCCCCAATTTTATTGACTTAAATTGAATTTAATACAGGCATGCCCTTTTCTACAGCTTTCAAGCCTGTGATTTATTTACTGCATTTATATCCTTTTCCCAAGAGCTGGTACAGGCATGTCTGCAGAATATGGTAGCAAAATTCAAGATGGCAACCACAACAGTGCAATCAAAGCAAATGACACACATACATGAAGCAGTGGAGAGTTTTCTTTTGTCCTGATGTTTCACTAGGAGCCCAGTCAGACAGCTCAATTGCCTGTGAGCTGCCCAGAGGTGCACCACAAAACAGCTCACTCTGCCTCTGAAGACGCCGACCACAGGCCTAGGGGAAGACACAGGTTTTCGGGGTTCATTTAAATGAGTCAAGGTAGTGGGGAGGGGTATCTCTGAAGGGATGCTGTTCCAGAAACCAGGTGCTGCAACAGAGAAAGCCCGCTTCCTGAGTCCCATCAGATGCCACAATGAAGCTGCCAACTATGTTGGATCAAATAGAGGGGGGCAGACAGTCCCTCAGATAGCCAGGCCCTATGCTATGAAGGACTTTATAGGTGAGAACCATCACCTTGAAGCACATAGAAGCCTACTGGTATGGTACACCTACCATAGTATGCCCTAAAATGCCTGTGCCACCACATACTGGACCAGCTGTAACTTCTGAATAGTCTTCAAGGGCAGTAGAACACTTTGCAAGAGTCTACATGCAAAGTGATTAAAATGTGAGTGACTTGTCTGGAGGGGCTCCCAGTCCAGAAATGGGCACAACTGGTGCACAAGATGGAATGGTTGTAGGAAGGCACACTTGCTATTTTAAAAATTAGGTACAGTGGCTGTCTGTATGAACCCAGTAGTAAGAGCATGGGGCTTTTTGCTCTGTTCCTTGAATACCAGCTATAATAAAATAAGCTAGCATTTCATTCTACTGTGGTCTCATATTGAAACACATTGTAGTGGCAATGCAGAAGACCACTGCATTTCGAAGAGATAATGACATATTTTAATTTTTCCTTCATATTAAGAAGTTAGAGTTCACTCTGAGTCATAACAATGTTTAGCTGACTTGTTTTTCAGCCTTGCCTGGGAATAAAGAAAAAGAAGGGTGGTAGGAGGACCTCAGGGTTACCTGTACAGTTCCCAGACATTCCAGAGTCTGGTCAGGTCACATGATGAACAGGTGCACTGTCTACCCAAGGTTAGATCTTGCAATCTTGGCACCACGGAAACAAGGTCAAGAGGTTTTAGTGCAAGATAGGGATAAAAGACCCTAGTATTGCCTCTTGAGCTTGGAGCTTCAAACACAGATCTGGGTGCTGTGTAAATTGGCTGCCTTGGGGTATCTCTGCGGTTGTTCCACTGGGGCTCCTGACAACCGGAGATTGGGTATCATCTTGCTTGGTATGCTATGCTTTTATATTTTATATGCTTTTATGTTTCTGTTTAATTTGCCTGCTAATTTTAACAATAAAGCTTAAAATACCCTTACTTACTGGTGTGCTCATAGTCTCTGGATCTTAAAAGAACTGATTGTCTAGCACCTGGCCAGTGCTTGGCGAAACACAGATACATAAAGAACATCAGCATGTTATTTCTTTGATGCTTGCATGACAGCTGTTGGTTTCTTTGAAGTCTTACCCGGTATGTGCCCAGGTAGCAACATTAATTGATAAAAAAAAGATCTGCTAAGACTCTGTTCTGTTAGCACTCAGAAAAATTTGCATAAGGAGAAAACCCCATATTAACGTACACGTTACTCTATGAGGAATATTCAACTTATTCTTTGGACTGTATATATATGGATTGCATTCTAAAGCTTATATTAAAATCAGGCAATTATGTCCTAATGCAACACACTCAGGAGCATCAGTAACGCTCTAGTACTGACAGAACCATTACTATACAGGTTGCACAACTCTTGTGAAGCCAATTATAAACTACAGCTGGCAACCTCCTTGGGAAAAAAAACAACAACTGATACCCTGCTTGAACAGCATGTATACATTAGATGGCAAAGTTTCTTCACGTGAGGGCGGTAAATATCATTTGCCAGTACATCGTCACCTCAGCAAGCACTAAGATTCAGGGCTACAGGAGGTTTAAACCCTCTGTAGGGAGGCCATGTATTTACTTTCTTTGAAATTACTTTGAAATGCTTTGTTTTGCTGTTATAGATTTGAGTCTGACTCAGAGATTCTGATTATGCATTCTATGCAAATGCATCTATTCTTCACTCACTTCAGCTGTGATGGGGAGTACACAGTGAGTATCCTAGGAGTAATTAAACATTACAAAGCATGAAAAGAAATTTTCAATAAAAAGAAAGCTTGCAGGAAAGTATTTATAAGGGGGTTTAATTTGAACAAGGACCCTCAGTACCCAGAATAAATTTTGAATATTACAAAAGTACATGAAGCAGTAATAATAATGAGAATATCAGCAAATGTGTGGGGAATACATTTCCCCACTTTGGGGTAAGAAGACAAATACAAAAGCTGAAGGGCAGATCTTGCAGATTTTAAGCCAAGTGAGATTCCAACTATTATTGTTGTTCCTTATGGCAAAAATGTTTCATAAAATTCAGCTTCTAAATTAATTTCATAGCAAAAACCTTCATAATAAAATCCATAGTGGCATTAAAATGATATTTCATTTGTAATAACAATGTTCATAATTTGTATAGTTACATAAAATTGTTCTGGAAAAGACTCAGTGGAATGTACATTTTGCAGACAAGATTATAAAAAAATATAGTAGAGTTTGTTTCAGCCATACTATAATAAGAAGGCAAATTCTGTTAACCAGCTGCACTAGAACTATGGGCTATTCCTCACTTGTATCTATTGGTGGTATGAGATTAACCTTGTGTGGCAAAGGGAAAACACCAGCCTTCTCAAAAGAGAGCCACAGCTCCTGATTTAAGTGCCTGCAGGCTGCTCTGCCGAAAGGGCAGGTATGGGGGTTGGGGAAAAAGATGGAGGAACATGGCAGATGCCAGAGAACGATGACAAAGAGAAGCCTGCAGAAGAAGTGCTTATCAAGGCCTGTAGAAACAGACTGTCCCACTTGTCTATGCTGCCTGGTTGGGACCCAGCTCATTTGTCAGGCACCAGATAGAACTGGTTCCTCTATTGGAATTCCTTACAAGAGGAAAGGAAGGGGCCAGAGTTTTCACAAGTAGGGAATTGTCTGTTTGCTGAGGCTGGGAGGCCCATTGAGTCTGCTGGTGTAAAGGAGGATAACGAACTTCAAACTACTGCTGCCTATTCCATTTTTCTCCCTTGCTTTGAATACTTTTATGTTTGAGAATTTTCTTTTGTATGCTTGGACTGCTGACACTCCAGAGACTGTTTTGTTTTCAACCCGACATTGAATGCTTGAGGGTCTGGGAAGAATAAACTGCAGCAGGTTTTCTACATCTTTGGAGTTTGTTTGCTGTTACTCGTGAGTCAGCTCCCCACCTCTCTGTCCACAAGAGACTTTGCCACACCTTGATAACCACTTTTTTCTGCCATGTCCTCATGATGTTGACTTGGTCTCTGCCCCAGACCATACCTTTCTTACTTAAGACTTAGGGCCACCTGTGCTGTACGGCACATTGGGCAACAATTTTTCTCCAATAATTTTGATCTGCTAATCTTGTTGAATGGCACTTGTTGCTGCAGTAGCAAAGGGGGGGAAATATTTTTTACAGGAGTGGGTTGCTAGCCCAGTACCCAACCTTCCTCTTTTCTCATCTGGGTATAGGACAGGCAGTGATGAAGACCATACCTAAAGCAGCTTAATGTCATCCTTTAAAGATTCTAGCTTTAATGGAATGGGCAAAAATATTAAATTTACATTGAACAACATAGAGAAAATTGGTACAAGACATTTTATCACTGATATATCACTTTAGTCTTAATTGTTAATTCTTGAAAATTGCTGGAATTGTAATGAGCCATCAGATCATTTTTTCATATTTGGTGGCAGTGCTGAAAATTTCAACACATCTGGAAAGGAATTTCTACTAGAATGAAACAAAATTTAAAGGCTGAATTCCCATTTCAACCTGAAATAGTCTTATTAAACTTTATTAAACCATATATTCCCCCTAGGTATACTGAATTAGCTTTGTATATATTAATGTCAGGTTCAGCCCAAGAATCACACGAGACAGTCTGGAAATCAGCTCAGCTTCTTTATTAGCTTGCACCTAATAGACAGAATCTTGCCAGACTAACTCTAATTTCCCAATGAGACCAACTATAACCCTGAAGCCCCTAGGGAGGGGCCAGTCTCTTCCTCCTTGCTTTCACACAGTCCAGCTGGGGGCTG